ACTTTCACATCTGTTGGTGTTTTGCTCACATTAGATAGAAACCAAGTTTGGCACGCTCTTCAAGGGAGATGGCTCAGACAGATTGGCATAAAGTCACAACTTCTCATGCAAAATTTCTGTGTTCGTATTATTCAGCACCATAGCTTGAGGTTGTGGATTCATTTCATGTCCTCATAGGCACAGTTGGGAATGTGTGATGATGATGTGATGTAGAATGCTATAGAACAATCATGCACATGTGGGTGTCAATATCATTTTCTAGCAGTGCTGCAATGTTTATATTAGCATCTTTGCCTGCGCTGCCAACAATTGAACCCCTCTCCAGGAGGAGCAGCATTCCACATTGTGCTACACCTGCAGCTCCATTGAGCCCAAGCAGGGTTCTATCTTGTGTTGTGAGAATGCAGACCCGAGCCAGAGTGGGTACACAAACAACAACAACATTCTATAGTTCCAATCACAAGTTACAGTTTTGAATTTCATGATAGTGTTTATTGTATGGCAGCCAACTCACACGAATGAACCTGCTAGTGGTGGCCTTCTCTGCATCTATCCTTGCATTTGGACTGGAGGAACTACAGGATTGTCTTATTCAGCATGCTCTTTGCAGGCTCAGGATTCATGTCAAATCCTTGAGGTGGCACTTTTCAGTTGCTCATTGTCATGATATGAGCAAACAGGGCCAAAGCCTGCAATCTGCTCTGGTGTCACACCTGGTCCTCCAACTGCATACCTCAATCAAAATCGTGCCCACGGCAGAGTCCAACAGATCTCCACCTGGGAGTCCACCTGGCAGCCTACTGGGCAGATCATGAAGAGGAGCTGTTGCCTGCAGTGCCAATATAGCCAGAACAGTTTGGAGGGCATGCAAATGCCTTGTAGCTCTAACTTCCGCATCTCCACCTCTTATGCCTCACTTCAGTTGTCAGGAATTCGTTGCCACTATCGAACCTCAGACACAGCAGCAAGCAATGGCAACTGCTCTCTCTGGCATGGTCTGCTGGACAGCTCTCTCCGGAGCCTCCCCTCAGGCTACTTGTCTTATACAACAGGGTATTGGGCCACTACTGGTCAGTGTGAGTCACGGTGGTGCTCTTGGCCCATGGTTCCCAATATCTTCAGGCAGCTCAGACTTGCTGCTTTCTCCTTTGGGGCACAAGACAGTCACCCTCTCACCATCCCATTTCTGCCCCTCTAATTGAGTAAGAAGCGCTCGCAGCTCTGCAGCATCAGAGCGTGCCTCAAGATGGGCTGGCTGTGGAGCACAAGCAGCACCACACTCTCATACAGCACCATCAATCAACAAACAAGCCCTTCACTGCCACTTCACACAATGACTTGGTGGGCTGTCCCCAATGACGGTCAACAGGCAAACATGGCAGTGCTTCATTTTGTGCTCAACAAAATAGAGTTTGTGCTGCATCCTCTTAATGCGGCCATCGACAAGATCTGACTGAACTGCTGCCCACCACAAATTTGAATGCCGGCTCTTGCTGACAATGCAGAAATTGCAAGAATGGCAATCACAACTTCAGACAGTGAGGTTACCTCCAGCTTGAGTGCTTTCTCCAGGTTGAGAAATGCAAGTCTCACCTGCATAACACAAGCATCATCAAGGACGGATTGAAGCCCATTCTCCCACAACCACAAGGTGGCTAGGGTGCAAACACATGGAAATATACCTCCAGGCAAGACTTCCAACTTGCTGGCGAGATATAAGGATAAGCAGCCTGTTCGGCCGCATGTTCGCAATACTCAAGGGCACGTCAATCTCGGGTTCAAGGGGGTTGAATCACAGGGGAGAATTGAAACAGGACGCAAAAGCATGCCCTGTACATCCGGCATGCTCACCTCTCCCAGATTCCTCTGGGCCCTCGCCAAAGTCACCAGCCCTTCGGTCCATCCCGGTCTGAGCTCAACGGCGCTCTCTGCGCACTTGACCGCCTCCCAAGAATCGCCCATCTCGTTGTGCACCTGACCAGTGTGAGGGTCGAACCAACTTCAAAGGCAGCCACACTCCCCGCCCTGCGGCTCAAGCGGCCAGTCCACGGCCTGTTGAGCCTGAATCCGTTCGGAGTCAAGGAGTCGCGAAGTTCAATGGTTTCCGGGAAACACGGGTCTGCAGAAAAAAGTGGTCAGGTCGGGGAGCTCGCCACCTGTGCCTTTAACTCGTGCAGCTCCGCCACACCGGGAGCTAGCCGAATCCCCTCTGCGAAACGGCGCAGAGCATCTCCAAGCTCTCCCCGGCTCGCCAGCATGTTTCCTTCCTCCTGGGCATCCATCAATACACACGTGGCAGTCACGGCACCTTCGCAGTCGCACCAGCGCATGCGTTCAGGCGCGCTCTGGCCAGGCGCGCCAGCGGCGATAAGCGAAGGTACCCAACACGGCCGCAGCTGCACAAAGCGCACCTTGAGATGTCTGTATGGAACACAGTCGCGCAACCACCTTGCTCAAGTGGGCACGCCCATCGCTACATCGACAAATGCTTCTGCTTCTTTCACAATGCAAGTTCGTACCTTGAGGGCCTGCGCCCTGTCCCGGGCCTCCTCCGCCCGGCGCTCACCCTCGTCAGAGTCGGAGTCATCGAAGGCCAGGCTCGGAAGAGGATGCTCGGCCTTGCGTTTCAGGCGCACCGTCGCCATGGGCCCTCTTGCCCTCGGCATCGCTGAGCCGTCGACAGTCGACTCGGCGATCGGCGGATCGCGTCGCTGGTCCCCGCCCCCGGGAGGCGGCCCGGCGGCCATTGGACGCCGGCCAGCCGACGGGCACCTGGACGCGATGCCTTGTCGAGTCGTCGGTCGCCGCCGGCAAAGGCGGCAACGAGCGCCAGGCGACGACCGAGAAAACGCCGTTTGTTTGTCTTGTGCACGTAGAGGGCAGGTTGGCATTCCGGTACAGTCACCTTGCACACCACCCGCGTCACCGGAAACATCTCCTGCCCAGGCGACACGCGGTTCGGTAGGGTGTACCGTCCACCTTCGCGCCACCCTACCTTTGCGTCAGCCGTCTGGGGTACCCTGCAGTGGGTCCCTGGGGCCCGCCGCTGGCATTCAATTACTTGCTCAGTCTTGTGGTAGCTGGTGCACCCCAGCCCAAAGCCGGACTGCTGAAAAGTTCATGAACCCGAGTCATCTCGTAGCTGCGAAGGATGGCTGGAAGAATGGTGACGCCCAGGAGCCACGTGTCCCTTCCCAGGGTTAGCTTTGTTGAAGGGAGAAATCAAATGGAAAACAGACTGAAAAGGCTGAGCATACTGTGCGTGACCGTCACAGCGTTCAACACACACAGGGTGTCTGCTAACCCTTACATAGGAAAGTAGATCAGCCCCGGTTGTGCATGATTTCAGCATTTGTTCAGCGCCGCCCGTTTCGAGCCCATCCCCAGTAACTACTGCCAAAGTCGCAAGCGAATTCGGTTTTGGAAGTGCTGTTCGTAAGGTCGATCAGATGCGACAGTGAGAACACCGCTCGCTGCCCAAAGGACAATCGCAGACCACAGTGTTGAGGTAGTCCACCTCAACAGACAAGTTGGCCCACCGCAACTGACCAGGGGGACCGCACAGGTGATCACTCGTGCATTGAGAAGCAGCGAGCACAGCAACAGACACAACAGAGGCCACAACATGCACAGCTGGGCTGGGAGTTTACTGTCTGCACCAAGGATGCGCAACTGCATGTGTGCAGGTATAATGTGCGCACAAAATGTGTATATGCATGACCCTGCTGCACACAAACTGTGTTCCTGGTGTGTTGCAAGGCTGTGCAGTGCGCACACAGTTGGATGCTCACGACAATGAGAATGCCGAATTCACAAGCTGACTGGCGTCGTTGCCCTTTCCATGCAGACATGTCCAGATGCTACTGCAGATTCCCAGTGTATTCCCAGCACATACTTCTAATTCTAGATTCCCTACAGCCAGTCAATAAATTGGAAGCAACTGATTACGCTACTGGTCCTCAATCAAAGCCGGCCATATAGTGCAATTGCCCACTAAACACCCCACGTGTTACATCCATACTAGAGAATACCATGATGGGCAGCCCTTCACACTGATCCAAGCCCACAAAAGATCATACCCTTTGCCTTTGGGTAACAGAGGGTTCCAATAGTGATGGCACCCAGGTACCTGGTACTCAGGTACAGGAATTTCCTGTACCTGTCTCTACAGTAACCGCAAACCCATGCACCAGAGTAGCTGGGTACTACAAGTTATGTGCCAAGATATAAGCGGATGCCTGGACCACCCTGGTAATGCCAGTGCCCAGGTCCAGTGTAAAACATACAACGCGAAACTCATATGGAGCGCCCTGGTAGAACATATCCGGGAACTCCCGTTCAGCACCATAGGATAAAGCCAGGTGACAGATAGTTTTGCTGTCCAGGCAGCCCTCTTCCATGGTACTTCGAGTTCAGAAACACAGCACAGGCAGGTTTACATCGATTTTCTTGCCTTGTTCGGACTGAGAATGAACAAATGTACACTGGCAAAAGGTTCGGATTGGAATTTCAATCTTGTTCAGAATGGGAATGACGTGTGCAAAATCTTGAAGCAGAATGAATTCGTCCACAATGGAAATCGGTGCAATTTCCCATATCATCGGCTCTGGTACCTTCCCCTAAACAATACAGCCACATTCCCATAAACATGCTCTTGCCTTGCTCTGGTTTAAATAACGACACTCTCATCGTACCTTGCGGTATGGACACCACCGCAATCTATATGGTATGTCAATTCATGCTCACCAACACAACCCAACTATGACGGCACAGTTTTTAAACACCCGTCTGGACAGCATTTACGTTTAACCAGTTTCGACCGTTTTCCTGCAGCTTTGCCACAGGTAAGCACATCCAGCGTGCAGTCCAATCCTCAACACCACATGCTTCATGTCTTTCCCTACTCCATGCACGCGTAGTATGGAACCACTGGAGGGTCAACCTGTACTACAGCAACACTGGGCTTCACTCCAGTTTTCCACCTTTTCTCTTATGCCACATCACTCTCCCCGGAGGCCAGGCGATGCCCGCAGGTAATTCTCCCACAGGGTCATGACCTCCTCCCTGCCCTGGTGATTGTCGATTGCGTGCTTCAGCTGGTCCACCAGCGACTGATTTTCAGAGAGTCCCCACGAGTCCTCCTCCCCCTCCTCCACATCTAACCCCTTCTCGCTGATCCGCCGTGCCAGCGTGCCAGCCGGCGAGTCGTCCCCTATCAGCCCATTTACGTATTGTGCGATGAGCTTCAGCTCATTGGCCTTCTTTGCCCTGGACCGGTGTGGGCGATCCTTGCTGTTGGCGAACACAACCAGTAAAAATTCTGACCACGTGGCCCTCCATCAACACACGATGAGGGGCATGATTGCAGTGGAATCTACCACTACTGATCGAGTTAAGAAAATGGCACCCAGAAGACTTACACAACTTGGTCCTGTTCTTGACAGGCTATACATTTCCACATTCTCGGCAGCTTAGGACATTTTAAAGGGAGGTGTTGTGGTGGTCCGAATCGAATGAGAGTAGACACCATGTATCGTCAGGACCAGAACACAGGCAATGCGTGTGCCAAAAGGTTGAAAATGGATTGAACTGCAGTGATTGTATATTCCTGTGCTGAACTCATGTGCAACCTGACCACCCTGGCCACACTCTCATCACCGCGTCAATGGGTCTGAGACCATACCCTTCCCCCTAAGCATTCCTTGTTTCTGGTTCATTTGGCAGGAGCAAACGTTCTCACAGGTGGAAGTATGTCGCTTGTATCACCCAAACACGAGCAAGGGATCCATGCAGTTGCATGCGCCAAATGCTATTGCAACAACAAACCCTGTTGACCTCTTTGGGCAAAATGCACAATCTCCTCCTCAAACCCAAATAAGAACACCACTACTCATCTTTGGCCCACTGTGTTGGGTGTCTCCACAGGGCTCCTGCTGCCCTTTCCATATTGCACAAGTGAGTTGTGTGTTCTACTGTGATGTCGAGAAGTTGAAAACTACTGAACATATCTCCATGCAGCTGACATCGCCTACAAGTGCAAGGTGCAAGGGCTTTGATGCAACACTACCACAATGAGCAAAACCATGGAACTTGTCCAAGAATCCCTCCATCTCCCCATTGGCCCGCACCTGCCGCTGTGCACCAAGACCAGCCCCTCGAAGTCTTGGCCCCCGTCACTCGCCGTCACTGTGTTGGAGGCCAAGCTGCTAGCAACGCTCTCCAGCCGGCGGACACTAGAGGAGGCGCTGTCGCTGGGCCGCTGGTGGGGCCCGCCCTCTGGTCGCAATGACCGGGGGTCCATGGAGGCGACCAGGAGGGCCTCCTCAGCGACAGTGCCAAAACGGTGGTCACCATCAGGCAGGCGATGGGCATCCCCACCCTGCAGACAGCCCATGAACTTGCCTTGTCAGGAAAAAGGGCAACATACTATTGGGCCACGCGCTGAGCAGCACTGCTTTCATGGTCTTCGCGGATAGTGTCGCTGGAATGCAGAAATGTGATAAAGAAATGCATTGGAAAATTGACCCCATCGAGCAAACTCAGCTCAAAGGCAAAGTCTCTGAACAATGGAGCCTTGCGATTCCATTTGCCCACTAGCGACTTGTGTCCTTGGAGCTGGAAGGTGATTATGCACAAAAGCCCAGCACATTGTTTGGTTGTTTGCTACCTGTGTTCTCATCGCCCTCCACAGGGGCCCGTTCACTTGTTACACTATGTTGTACAGCTGGCCATTCTCAGGATATTTGCATCCTGATCCCTACATTGAGGAAACTGACTGGCAGGGAAATTTACTGACTTGTAGGGACTTCACTGGATTTCATGGACTTGTAGGGACTTCACTTGGTGTCGTTCGTCGATGCATGCAAGTGCCACTGCAGCAACAGAGGTTTGAGACAATGCGGTTAATGAGCAAAGGGAAAAGCACATCTGCGCTTTCATCAAAATGCAGCAGAGAGACATGGCCAGTGCCCAACAGCGTGACATGGCAAACCTCCCCCTGTGAGATTGCTCATGCAAGAGGTTGCCTGAGGTGTGGCACCCAATTGGACATAGATATTGGGTAGATTGCCAATCAAGAAGATGTCCTACAAACACGAGCTCCTGCTCTTTGGCGTATGGACCAAGAATATCAACGTGAGTGCATTCACGTGCCACACCAACACCTGCACAATTCTCTTGGCAGGTGAATTTCAATGCACTTATAGCGCTGAACCAAGCCTGTGCATTTATGATTTCACAGCACCCATGAAATTCAGGTGTGGTGACATATAGGCCAGCAACACTGGCGCAGGTTCTAGCTAGATCAATAATGGCATTACAGATCACACACTCCTTGGCACTGGCATACTGCTACTTGCACATGCAATCGGTACTCCCACTGTGTTGGCTTCCCGAGTTGTGACTCCGTTCAATTCCAAGGTCAGATCTGCACATCTTTCAACCCCACAGGGCCTGCTATTGCCTTATGAGCACAGTGGTAAGCATTTCTTGCAATGTTTCAGCAAACGCCATCCAACAGACTGCCCTCAGCACTCACACTGCCCACTGAGCCATTGGCTCCAGCGACAAAGGGGGAGGAGGAAGGCGTGTTGTCAAGCGATTGTGCATGCAGGCTTTGCTCGTGGCTGGCTTCCATCGGCGTGTTCACCTCCACCCCCTGCATCAACTCTGAGCTGGCATCTGACACCGTCGGCCTAGCCAGCCGGGGCGACAGGAACGAAGCGGGGGGCCCTCCCTTCATAGCAGCCATCATGAACGGGTTGTCCATCGTAGGCGATTCTGCCATGGCGTAGGGTGTGCTGGCCTGCTGGGAGGGCGTTGCTGAGCCTGGAGGAACAAAGGGTGACATCGTGGGGGCAGGGGAAGGCGCCCGTGTGTGCCGGCTGTGCTCCCTAGGGCTCCCAGACACACGCCCTATGGCGGGGGCTGGGCCAGGGTATCCGCCCTCCACCTGAATGGGCATTGGCACCTGTGGGCTGGTTTGGACCGCCCGGGAAGCCACCGTTTCCTCCGAGTTCTGCAGGGACACCTCTGTCTTGACCACTGTCCGAAGCATCTCCTCCAGGCGCTTCACCAGGAAGGAAAAGTCCGGTCGCCTCTTGGGGTTCTGGTCCCAGCACCTGTGGAAGACAGCACAATCTGCTTTGAGAGCAGGCAAAAGGCACAGCTAAGCATCCACTCGCACATGCAAGGGAGATGGCGTGGGTTGGTGACAACCACAAGTTTTTCGTCAAAATTTTTGCGTTCAGCAACGATTTGCAATACTTCAGAATCAAATAACAGTGCAAGAATTTTTTTGTGCCTGTCAATGAACGACAGACAGAAGCCGGGCAACATGTCAGGCTTTCCCTGAGATTCTTGACAGATACACCGTGACAATTTTTAAATCGTCTCTTGCACCATAGAAAAAGAACCTTGTGAATCTTGATAAGGAATCACTGAGTGTGGGACAAAAAGCAGTCAGTGCTGATTTCACCCATGATAAGGAGGACAAGATACCAACACTGCACTATGCCTGCTGACACTGAAGACTTTTAGTATTTTCAATACTGTCGATGTTTTCAGGGTTTCAGGGCTTTCAGCAGTTTCAGTATTGTCAAAGTTTTCAGTGCTCTCAGTGTTTCAGCCTGTTTAACATCATTTGTAGTATTTCAGGATGGAGGTTTAGAGTACACGAATTGCTGGCCATGCCTCAGATAACCATGCGCTGAATCCAAAACTTGTGAGGTGGAACACAACTGCCCCTTGTACTGTTTGGTAAGCCCTTGCGTACGCCAAAGTAACCCCCTGCAAGGCACCATTTATCTTCATCACCTTCTCTAGGGCCAGACTAGCACCGTGACTTGACCGCTGTCAGTGTCCAATTCTAATGCCCGTCTGGATTCCCTCGGACCACGAGATCGCAGATTCAGCAAGAAGACTGCAGAGTCAGTTAGGTGCCAAGCATACTGATGCACTTTGGAAGATCAGCACCTGCGAATGAGGTCTGTCCAGTCGCCATAGACTGGGCAGCGTCCCCCAGGCAGGTTGCTGGCCAAGGGCACCTCAGGCCGCTGGCCTTCCAGCACCCAGTTGTAGATCGTGACAGCATGGCAGCTGCGGGGGCACTCCTCCCAGGGCTGCTGCCATGTGAGGAGCTCCCACAGGATGATACCAAAGGAGTAGACATCTGCCTTGAAGCCATACACATTGTCCCTGAGGGCCTCGGGTGCCAGCCAGCGCGGGTTGCTTGCATGGACTGACGAAGCATGGACGTAAGGAGATAATAACCTGCACAGCCAGAAAACAGTTTGTCAAAGTCGTTTTGAGGTATTACACCCTGGCACCGCGTCCACACCGATTCCAGTTTTCAAAAATGAACAGGCACAGTACCTTGACCAATCAAGAAAATCAGGCGTTCTGCAACAGGGTCTCCCCAGCACCAGAATTCTGCCAGCAATGCAGGAGTCCCTGTCCAGTGGTTTGCAACCATGCATTGGCATTGGACATGCATATTCGATTCCTAGTAGTAAGCTGAAGACCTCACAGTTCCACAGAGCATCGTGCTCATGCAGTCCCTTGATGAGCAGTGCTCCACAGGTTTCTGCTGGTTGTGGAGTTGTCATAGGGATATGTCTGTTATGCTGGTCGTCGGTTGAACTGGATGTGCATGCAGATGCACTCCACACAACCCCAAGCAAAGTGCCCAGCAGTTAGCAAGCTCACTAAATCTCCAAGATACACTCAAATATGTCACAGTGAAACAGCTTATTCTTCCCTGGAATCTTCAATCGTTTGCCTGATTTTGTCAAGCAGTGCCCAAACACCGATCAGGTACCTTCCAAGGCGATGGCGGGCAACATGCAACTCCAACCAGATCTCACATCCCCCAACACTTTCAAGTCTTCACACATGAACGTGAACCACAATGTAAACACATCAACAGCAATCCATCCGTCAAGATGCAATCAGCATGAAAATCCTTCCTCCGTCCCAGATTAATTCTCGTCTGTTTGAAAGGCTAAATTTGTTGTAAGGAGACCCTCAGAATTTCAAAACAAGGTCAAAATCGAAAATATTGCATCTCAAAACCCTTGACTATCAATTTTCAAGAAGGAAAAGTGAGACAGGACCCTTTTGAGTGCAAGGAGAAGGTAAATTTTGGTCATTTTCGACCCCAAATATTGAGATTTACTATGTAAAAAGACCCTTAATACAAAGTACTGCCAAATACTCAATAGGAGCTCTATGCCAAGATCGAAGAGAACTACTTAATGGGTTGACTTGAAATTTTTATGGTGTACTCCCAACTCAAAAGGACAACTGAAGGCGAAATTTCATCAAAACAGGTGCGAGCATGACGGAGAAATAATGCCCCCAAATCATAGACGACAATTAATCTGGGACGGAGGAAGTACAAGCTAAGTCACATGTCAGGCGTATCAACCGTGTACAATGCAGTACGTCCATGGCATATGCGCTGTGAACACACTCACTTTGATGTCCCAAAATCTGAGACCTTGACCTTCCAGAAAGCGTCCACCAGCAGGTTGGGTGACTTCAGGTCACGGTGCTCGATGTCCTGCCTATGCAGGTAGTAAACTCCCATTGCCGCCTCCAGCGCCATCTTTGCAAGTCGGCGCCAAGTCAATTGCTTGCCCATAGCCTCGTTACCTTCCCTCACCCTTTGCAACAGGTCGAAGAGGGAGCCCTTGGCGCAGTACTCTGTCACAAGGGAGGGGGGGTCTAGGCACACGCCCATGAACATCACGATGTTGGGGTGGCGGAGGTAGTACATTACCTGTGTTGCGCCAGTGGTCAGGGGGAGAATATGGAGCAAGCCAGCATAGTCAAAGCAAGCAGCAAACAGCTATTGTGTGGATGATGTCGTCTGCAAATACGGCGTGAATCCAGCAGAGCAACAGCCAGATCACTGATGGCCAACAACTTGTGCATCATATGCCACCAACCAGTGAAAACCTGACTCTGTTTCTTGAGGGAGCTTGTTGCAAGATTCGAGAAGAAAACAGATTAGACCCGTCTGTTCCCAGCAAGCGTCTAACAGATATTCAAAAAATCGGCGTCCAGGCCACTCTTCAATCCCTGGTGCCTTTCTGTACTTGGAAACGTTCTTATGCTCAACTACCCATGCACAAATGCTCTTTGGTTTCTACCACATGCAACGACCAATTAGTGCCAATCGACTCTAAGCACTCCAAAATTGACTCCTGAAGACGATCCTCAACTGTGTCTACTAGAATTGAATCAACTGTCCCTACTGATGTCTAGCACTGATGACAGCTCTAAACGATACCCATCAGCCCTTGCTGTTATCAACACCATTCGCTGACAACCATGAACAGAGACTGACAGTGCCGATTCCATTCAAGACTATATCCAACAAACACATCAAGATGCCATCATACCTGTGCCTCCCGCTGCAGCATGTGCATGGCTTTCGCTAGCGCGGCTTCTGCCCTCTCGTGGCTGTCTGGGTCTTCATCAGGAGATTTAAGGTTGCCAGAGTTCCCCAGCAAGTTGTTCACTTTCAGCACCTTTATTGCCACGTCTGTCATGAATGCCTTTCCCCTGTGCACCCGCAGCACTTGCGATCGGTCGGCAGCAAATGGGTAGAAGAATATTGTTGGGAAGCACAACATGTATGTATTTGAACACTGCCCACCATGCCCACAAGGTTACAGGCCGTTTGGCAGTCATACTCCACTGGTGAACATGGTACCTAGAACATGTTACAGCCTGTTGTTCATACAAAATAAAGCAAATGCAAAAATCTATCACGTCAATCAACTATCCACCAACATTTCCCTCAAACATGGCTCACACAACAGATAACCGGCTTTAGGCACCTTGGCATGACTTAGCACAAAACAAATTGAAATGGCCATTTCTTTCCAGTGTTCTTTGACACATGTACAGATTGCTGACCACAATACCAATGGGATAGCATAGAATGGACAGTACAACCAGTGGGGTTCACCTGTAAACAGTCCCGAAGGCACCATCCCCCAGCGTCTCTGCATCCGTTTTGTCCCAACTCAGGTCATGGCGGTTCAGCAGGATCGAGTGCTCAGGTGGAAGGGGGTCGATCACAATGCTGGCCTGCCGGCCCAGTCTGTGGCCACCCTTAGGGTAGGAGGTGAAGCGATCAAAAGAGTTTGCCAGTAGCTGTGGCGTGGTGGATGGAGGCGATGCCTGCGATGCGGGTGATGCCTGCGATGCGGGCGATGACATGTCCTCCGCCACAGGGCGCATACTCTGGCCACTGCTCAGCACGCTGGAGGAAATCTCCTGCAGTCCATCATAGTTCAATTCACTCTGTTTAAATGTGTGCACAAAGGACAAGCATGAACTCTGTGCTTTGACGTGTTGAGGGGGAGACACTGGAGAAAAGGGTTCCAGGATCTGTGAATTGGACACACCCACATGCAGTTGACATAGCAGTACACACTATCAGTACAAAAAAAGGAGAAATCTGGGTCCCAGCCAGGCTCAGCCCATTGGAACAGGCCTCAAGGCCTCTCCTCTCATGGACAAAGGGCCCCAAGGAAGCAGGTTATCAGGAACCAGTCACACACAAAGGCATCAACCTAAAATGAATCCGCCCAATAGCATGACCACTGTGTCGGTGTAGCACGTGGAACAGTCCACAACGCTCCATTTATAGGGCTAAATTACAAATGTAGCAAGCAAAATAGACAAATTGACTTGTGGTCAAGAAGAATATGGTTTACTCCACAATTCACACAGCTTACACCACCAACACACGACTTTCAACACGATTTGAGCACTGGCTGAAGTAGTCAGTGAAACAGACAGCAAAATGGTCAGTTGTGATAAAAATGTGGTTGAAGTGGCAGGGGCAATTTGTCACGTTCAGTGAATGATGCCGAAATAGAAACATGTACCGTGTTTGGGCCCAACAACCCACCACCTTCCAAGCAGTGTGTTTGAGACACTGTCCAACACTTTGGAAGGTGTTGTAACGTCTCTGAGCAAGGGGCAAATCTACGAAGTCAACAGCATCTACATTTCCCAACCAAATGTTGTTGGTACCAACAGGATTCAACACACAGATGGTGTCCCCTGCCCAATGGAAACATTCGATTCCCTTTCGTACACACTGCAAGGTGCTCCACAAGCTGTAAATAAGACATCTCCACACCCAATTTCCCCAAAGGAGGCCAGATAGACAGAGAGGCACGTCGAGTTCAGCCCAATCGGTCTGCCAATCTGCTCTCACAATCAGGGCTTCCTGCTTCGTATGCTGTGGCTTCCGGCGATTTTCACATGTTGACAGTCACACAATCAGCTCACACAATCGATGCGTGCGAAAACAGTCAGGCAACACGCACCTGTATCGTGCCCAGGCGCGTAGCGTCCTGGTACTCCTCCCTACTCGTCCATTCCGCCTCCACGACCGCCGCCCGATCGGCGGCCGCCAGCCTGCTGGCAATATCAATCTCCCGCGTGCCCACCTCCCTCGGCCGCTCCTCAAGGGGATCCGGCTGCACCTCCGGGGCCGGCACCGCGGACGTGCTGGGCCGGGGGGCGGCGGATTTTGACGATCCGTCTCTCGGGGGGCCCTTCGGAATGGGGGGCGGCTCGCTGCCGGCCAGGCGCGGCGGCGCCGACAGCTCTGGGTCCGACGGCACCCGCAGGTTCTTCAGGGTGTTGAACCGGTGCACCGTATCCACCTTGCTCACGCGCTTCACCCATCTGGCCACACACCACACGGTGGATCAGCCCAAGGGCACCGACGTCCGCAGACGCCGACCGATTTCCGTGTCGCAAGGGGGCTGCGACATTGGGGGCCTCCGGTCTGCGCGGGCGCCCTGGCATCAGCGGGAGCACGAGGGAGCTTGCTGACAGGATCGACAGCGCCCTCCTCGTTGCGGTGTCGCGTTGAGTTGAGCCCACGGTGCCACGGTCAGTCATCAGCCTGGGGACGCCATGTGAGACGGGCGGAGCCGCCACACTAATCCTTAGTCGAACGTCGTTCCAAATCGGGGCCGAGGAGGGCGAATGACGAGGATGGTCATGGATTTTTCTAGCTAGCGCGGGGGGCCTTGGCGTCTGGGCAAGCAGCAACCAACCACCCGCGATGCAGGTTCAGGCGTCGCGGCTGTCGGTCCGCCTCTTGAACTGCCGGCTGGAAGGTGTTCCTTTCCCAACCGGGCGTTGATTCCCGACGGTTGCTCCGATGAGGGATTCCCGCTGGGCGGACAGGTCCACGCAGCCGCAGCAAAGGGCGGTCCGTCACGCGGCGCAACTCTGTTTCGAGCCGAAAAGCACAGATCCAACACCGGTGCAGCGAAACACAAAACAAGCAAACAGGCAGGCGAGCGCGCAAGCGGACGAACTTATACCACAGCGGCAAAAAAAGGGAAGCAAGCAAGGAGAACATGCGCGCTCTCCGTCCGACCGCGTGCATCAATTCCAGGTCAGACGCACCCAAACAACCAACAAGAAAACAAGCAGGCCGGCGAGCAAGCGGACAAGCGAGAAAACTGTTTTTCAACAGGCAAACAAGCAGGCAACCAGGCGAGCAGAAATGCGGACGCGTCACTGCAGCCCGCGCACATTTGCGTCGCCCGCTTCCGGAAGGGGCCCGGCACCGTGGGCAGCGAGAAGCCAGCCTTGCGCGCCTCCTCCTGCAGGAAGGCCTCCGGCCAGAAGGATACCGTGCCCAGGCGGCTGGCAGTGACCATGCTCTCCGTGCCGCCTGCCGCGTGCATTATCCTGCCCCGGTGTGCCCTGAAGCACCCCTGCTTGGGCAAGTGCTTGTACAGGGCGTGGTACTGCGTGTTGGTGCTGGTGTTCATGCCAGGCGTGCTGGGGTCGGGGCGAAGTATGGACCAGAAGGCCACGCTACCGTCGTGGTGGCTGATGTAGACCATGCCCAGAGGCTCGTTCACGAAAACATTCCTATTGCAGCAGCGAGGGAACGGGTGAACGACTAACTGATTTCGTCTGTTGCACGGAGCGTGCTGTGGACACGCCAGTCGTGGCAAGTGGCTCCACTCATGAGATCGGATCACGGTGCAGTGCCAGTGGTTTCTGTGGTCTGCAAGGTGCTCGCACTACTTGGCACTGTGAAGAACCGAACCCTTTTTTCATAGACACTCTGGGCAAGATGGTCACCCAACAAACGCTCCTCTCATGGTTGAAATCTTTGGGAAATGTGCTGGTCGAAAAGTCCAAAGCCTTACCTGTTGTCCACTTGCATCGATCCAAAAGCAAAGTGCTGTCAGACGCACGTGCCTGCAACCAGTCAAAAGCAAGGAAAGTGCCCTTTCGGGCAGCGGTGGCCAGCATTGAAATGGGAGGTGGGTTCGTGATGAAACCCACCTAATGGAGCTCTTGCTCTGACCGACCTTGACCATCGGCAGGAGCGAAGTGGGGTTCCACAAAACAATGTCGCCACTGTCATGCCCTGAGATCAGACGCCAGTCATCGTCGATGGCTGTGGTTCTCTTTTTCGCCTCCCAATTCATTGCTGCCATACAATCGCAGAGACCTGACAAATGGCACACATGCGCGCACATCAATGAAACATGGCATACTGGGCAGGCAAATGAACAAACAGGAGGTACCTGTGGGTTGTTTGCTGCTTGGAAACCTGTGCGAAATGTGGTCTCTTATGACATGAGGTTTGGAGTTTTGTTTTGTGAAAGAATGTGAAGGTCTGTTGGACTGCTAGTGAACTGACGCTGCCTGGCACTCTGAGCTCAGTTGTGACATGTGCCACGAGCAATGCATTCTTTTGCACATTGATGAGAGGCATATTGTCATTATGCACTTAGGTGTATCTGTCCCCATCCATGCAACACACTTGCCAGGCACAAACCGGAGACAGCCAAACATGTTACCACTAAACAGATCCCAAACGTGTACACACAGTGCAGTATAGCCTTGTCCTGTGTGTTCCCCTTTCACCATCCCCTTCACCAGACAACTATTCACCAAGGTGAATATCGCCTACAAATTCTTCAAAGCAAGGTGCTGATATATTGCGTTGTCACACCAACATTTACTTTGGAGAAGCAAAACAGCACATGCCTGTGAACAGCTCGGTTCATGGCCACTTGCAAAACCAGATCTGCGCACAGATGCAAAGAACCGCTACTGGAAGCCAGCTGCCCATAAAGCGTTGGTCAGGGGTGACACACTAACTACAGCTGACAGTGTGGACTTCAGGAAAAGTTCTCCATTCTTCGCCCTCAGAAAGACTGTCCAAGGCCATTGCCAGGCAGAATAACAATGAGGGAGTCTGCATCACAGAGTGGGAAAGAAACAGCAACAACACCCATAGACAACCAGCTGCTTTCAGCCTGCAGCCAGCAGCCCTCACCATAATGGGAGCAGTGCCGACTGCCCAGTGCATCTCCTGTGTCACCCCACACCTTGATGCTTGAACATGCACGGCTCGATCCACCAGACGTGTACACTTTACCATTCTTTGGGAAGATGCACCTCACTCTGCCTTGGTGAGCACGTGGCTCAGTCTTCAAGCTGAATACCTTATGGAGCCCCTGGGGATGCCTGCGACCTACAGCAAGCATCAAGTGCTTTGTCAAAATCCTGTGAGCCACTTCAATAGAGCACTCCACTGTCAGCAAATCTTCATGAAAGTGTGAGGAGAACACAAAGTCGACGATTTGAGAATGAGCCTTTAGCCATCATTTCAGAGCCTCGTGCATACTTTGTTCCACGGATAAATAGTCCATTTAGCCATAGAGTCTGAATGTACCACAATGCAGGGCACAACACAACACGTGGGCTTATCGACCGTGGGCTTATCTGCAGCGAGTCCATACATCAAACTACGATAAAGACTTCCTCTCCTGTTTGTTAAGCAACATAGGTGTTTCTTTCCTGAAACGCCAACAATTGTCACCCAAATGCAACGGTTCCCATTCTTCATGAAACAAGACGCACTTCGGTACTGACAATGCACCAGGAATACCGTCACTGTTGTGCATCTTTAGCACATCCACCTCCAGCAAAGCACGTTCTTCACGATCTCTCAACGTAGTGAGGATAACATGTGTCATCAATTGTCCAGTGCTAAGCATGGCCAGCTCAACCAGGTGATAAATGTTCAACACCACCAATACCCACTGCTCACAGGCACACAATCACACCATATTCGAACCTTCTGAATTTTCAAATAGAACTTCGATTTGCAAACTTCCGCTACCACTCGCCTTGCAAGCAGGAGCAGTTCTGAAACGAGTTCTTTCTCCTCATTTCTCTGGAGGAGCATCGCTTGCCTTTTAGTTGCTCTACAATAAGGGCAAACCACAGTGCGGCTGTGTGACAGGCTTGAATATGGTAAAGCAATCATTGTCAAAACTTTGTAGCCATGTTCACATGCTTGAATCTCACACGCCAACACCACTGCAGACAGTCCACAGCCTGGCACTGGCAGCCTGCTGCAGGGCTACAAACCATGGCACAATTACGATTCAAGTTGAAGAACACCTTTGCCTGGCACATCGCAAGGTGTGTCCCTGCCAGATGGGGAAAGCACCCCAAGCACCTCCAGCTGGTAGAAACCCTCCTTGCCTCTGATCTCCAACCTCCTCACAATGCCATTCCCCCAACCCACCCAGCCAACCCCCCACTCGTCGATAGAGATCGCCCTGCAAAGCAGATCCCAACAGGTCAGAAGTGCTTGAGCACACAAAGGTGCCACCTTCCAAGTTTCGCAAAGGAGGTTCTTGCAGGGCTTCCATCATATGCATTGTACTGAAATAGATGGGGAACACAAGATGTCCTGGATTTGCTGCAAAAAGCAATACTGCAGCATGTGAGTTCCATTACTTCCAGAGTTACCAATGTCCTCCAAAAGTTGCTATTGCCTGGCCCAATTCAAAACTGTATGAACAGGCACTGGGCCATCTTGCAATATTCTGTTTGCTCCCAGTGTTCAGTACTATTTCTCCAACCTCACGGCAACAGAAAGACTTGCCCTGTTTTGGAAGGCAAACAAGGAGCACCGAATTTCATGCATATGTTGCATTGGTGTGGCAGTTTGTCAACACATGCAAAGGCGATTTTGTGGTGTGGCCTTGAAGGAAGGAAGGCAGTTCCATGCAAAAATGACTGCATCGTGCAAATGAGCCTCAGAGCAGATGCAGATGATACTTGGAGAGCAAGGGAGTCCACAGACTGGTTGAGAAGGGGAAGGCCAGAGGAGTGAATGCAACCTCTGACAGGCGCACAACCATGCCATTGCCAACATTTAAGATGCTTCTCAAATCCGGTATTCCTCACAATATTCAGGGACTGGCTGCAGTAGGGAGCATGCCAAATCAGTCTTTGGCTTGCACAACTGAGGCTGCTCCACCAGATTTGTTGTGATTGATGACTAAAAGGACATAGAACCAGGTCTGACAGTGGGGCTCCTCTCCCCACAAAGCGACAATGGCAGTCTTCAAAGGAGTGCGACATGGGAAGCTCCAAATGCAAAGGAATGAGTAGGACAACAGGTAAACTGTTCTGACGTACCCCCACCTGACAGCGCTGCTTTGACATTGCGAGCTTGCCAACAAGATTTCTCCATTGTTGGTCCAAACCTTCAGAATTCCCTTTTCATGGCCAGTCCAGATCCTGCCCAAGTGGTCGCTGGCCAGGCACAGCACTGCTGAACCGATCCTCTCCCCACTTATTACGCTGGTGGCGTCGGTGCCCAAGTCATGCCGAAAGAGTTTGCCAGCCCTTGACCACCAGAGGATGCCCTGGGTGTCACGAGCCTGCACCCCTCCAGCTGACATGCAGTCCTCTACCAGGCCAGTGGGAATGGGTCAAGGACATCAACTTGCAGTTTGGGAAGGCAGAGCTGACACCAAACATTTGTTATGCATCAAGAGGAAACGCTTGTGTGTTGTTGATTGCACATTCGATGATTTTGTCTGCTGGTGAAGCAGAAAGGGCACGTTCTTGTTCTCAGGACCAAATGTGCAAGAGACATGGAATGTTACAACCACTCCAAGATGGCAAAATGTTCCATAACAACATATATGTGTAGAAGAGCAGTGCTTGAGCAGTGAGCCCAAGGCAACCCTGCTAATCCATAGTGCCTGTCTCTGCTTCCTTGCAGCAGGCATCCAATCAGCAGTGGTGCACACATTCGCCGCCAATCTCACCGATGTACAGAAGAGCCATGATTGGCCTCTCCACTCTCTTGCCCCTACGAATTCGTTTCTTCACAAGATGGAAACCCAAGTCACCTGCAGCACAAGCACCCTTACAACAATTTATCTTCAAGTCTGCTTTGGTGTCAATTTGCACTCGGGAAGGTGGTCATCGGCTTGGCACTCCTGAACACAACTCCAGGAATACCAACACCCAACAAAACACAATCCACAAAGGATCTCCATGGTAGCAAGCAGCTGTGCTTGCCAGCACACGTCAGGCAGCATGTCAAGCCTGTGCCTGAGCCCAATGCACCTTCCACAGAATTCGGACCCCTGCCACTACACGCAACATATCTGGACCCTTGGCAATGACATCGCATCAGACATCATGGACAACAGACCTGAAGAGAGTAGTGTGCAAGGGTGCATAGAAAAGTGCCAAGCAGATTGGAACATGGCAGACCGAGCACCAGCACCAAGATGTTGTGCAGAAGGGCAGGAAAGTGCACCTATGTCACACAGCACACAAGACATACTGGCAGAGCTGGGAAAATGTGTTAGCTTTTGTTTTGCCATTACGCTGCACGCAAGCTGCACATTGGCCCGATCGGGCACATAAAGTCAATGTTGGTACAGTAATTGTTCCGTAACCTCATGGCAGTGCCGCACGAAAGCCCACCTGGCGCACGTCTGGACCTTCCTGAAACAGTGGGAACACCCAAGCCCTTCCCATTCACCCCCTCCTTGCTTTCGGGCACAAAAGCCTCCCCCTTCTCCCGTAGTTTCCAGGCCTGGTCAGCCAGCAGCTCCAGCTGCTGAGCCAGTTTGTGGAAGCGCAAAGTCACACTCCTCTTCTTGGCCCCTGTGCGCAGTTGCCTTACAAGACAAGGTGCTTCGCCATACTTTCGTACAAGCATCGTTCCCCTTGTGAGCAGCGCACGGATTTCTGCACTCAGCTTGGACAGGTGAGGCTCCACTCTCTTCTCGCTCAGCAGGACCTAAAAACACATAAATACACTCAAATGCAACCCAACTATTGAAGTTGCCTTATCCACGTGCATTGGTACTGGCTAATGCACAGATGCATTAGCCAGTACCTGGGCGCACTCTGCAGGAGTACGCCCAGGTACAATGCTCAATCTGGTGAGGCAATTGAACACCTTTTGAGCACCTTCCCAGCCAATTCCATTCTTCAAGCTGGTTATGAATTCTCATAGCACTGAGGCCAGCAGCGTCTGTTCACTGCCTTTATGTGCAACGACTCCAATATCTCATCAATCCATGTCATTGCCAATTCCCAATGATTCTCTTGACCGGCCTGTTGCAAAACTGCATTCAATATCTCTTGAATAATCCATGCAGTTACCAATTCCAGGCCAGCATCGGAGCTACGTGTCTGTCCCCTTGCCAGCCATTGGAGAAAGTTGCTGCAAGTGCCTCTGCAATAGGACCACATACTGTGAACAGGGTGCTAAAGCAAAGGAGGTGCCCAAGCAAGAGCTGACAGGAGTCGCGAAGACTAGAGGACACAGGGGGCATGATTGACAGCAAGTTGGTGCATAGGATGCCTTGAAGATGCCATTTGACAACAGGATGAGTGCTGCCCTGCTTCGGGGCCCTGTCCATGCCCCTTCAGTGGCAGCATGTTCTAAGGCATCCTTCTTTGGGACTGCCAATTCTGTCCAGAATTGTGAGCCAGTCGGATAATGCAGCAACCAGTGCACCTTAAACCCAACCCACTATTTTTGGACCACCTCATCAGGTTACACACAACAGCAAACAGGTAGGTGTAGGCTCTTGTGCCATTTGCTACCAATTCAAGATGCCCAGGGTGCGTGCAGGCAACCTCTCACCATGTCTAAAGCTGCCATGGCCTTGATTGCAGCCTCCTTCACACTGCTGGAACTCTCCCTGAAACAATGAACGGCTTCCCCAGCTGCCTCCAGATCCTCATATTGGGCCTGGCACGCCTTCACAAGGGTGGCACTTTCCTTTGTCGCCTTCGCAGGCCCATGATATCTGGGCTCATCAACTGGCAGCAGCCAACACAATGGAGCAAGCAAATAGCTAAGATGCCGATGCTTCAACACCAACAGGCACAGTGCCTGTAGTACACCACGGGGAGCACACAATGAGCTTTGTGGACTGCTTGGAACATTTGTTTTCTCTAAGTTGGCCTCTCAAGTAAGATACCTCTATATACAGAAGGGCTGTCTGGTGCCCGAGTGGCCAGTGGAGAATGATCTTGTGCACAAGAGGCTTGTGTGCGGTCCGGGTGGGTCGTATCTTTGTTTTCGACACTGTCAGGAGCTCATGCTTCCAGAAGGAGCAAGCCGCGCGCAAGTGGGCATCCCTTCTTGACTGCTCGACACTGTTTGCCAAGCAGTCTTTCATTGAGCGGCGTTGCTGTTGGCACATGCCTTCCCAACCCCTTCGGTCACTTGTGACAGTTTCGTTCAACGTGGGACAAGCTATGCACGCAGTGTTCAAGTTGGGCCACCAGCTCGCTTACTCTGTACAGAGGAACAAACCAACTGCGACACCAGGAAGAGGTTTCCCTGCATGTCCACAGCACTGCCTGTCCATGTGCCACACTGGGCACTACATTTCTCCAGACGCACTCCCTCCCTTGCCTCCCAGGTGCAAGGGCTGCGCCTTGCTGCCGACCAAGTCAACCAAGTCGACCAAGTCAGTCAATGGTCTTAAGGCACAACCCGGCCGATCGGTGTGTTCCTGGAACCCGTTTCGCGCCCCTGCGCTGCCTGCCCAAGCCCCCTCGTCCAAAATGGCAGCCCACCGCGGATGCGGGCCTGGCACAGGTGGGGCGCTGCTGGGAAGCCCGCGCAACTCACAGGCCTCCACGGACAGGCCTCAATGAACCCCGGCATCCAAATCGCGAGCCCCAGAGCCCACACAAACAGCTTTATAACGGATTCACGGCCGACGCGTGGGCCCGAGGGGCCCGCCGCCTCGCCCGCCGCTCCCTTCATCAGCTCACCCCTACCTGGAGCGAACTCCACGGCGTCCGAGCCCTGCACCCTCCGGGCCGGCTGGATCATCCCCAGGCTGAGCCACCGGGAGGCTCTCTTCTGGGGCCGGCCCAGCAGCCCCTCTCGCCCCTCCATGCGTGACGCCTCCCCCTGATCGTCCATCGCTCGGCCCCCCTGTGCGCATCAAAGACGACATTCGCTCAGCGCGGCAGACGACGCGGACGGGCGGGAACATCAGCACGCTGCTGCATTCCCATCCATTCCGTTGGTCCGCACAGGCGCCCGCGCCCAGCGCAAACGCGGCGTCAGGCGGCCCTCAGGGTTCAGTCACCTCCAGTCCCAGTTTCCGAACCGCATCGCGGGAAAGCCCAACGGGAAGCAGCGGCGCAGAAAATCGCTCCGCGCCAGACGCGGGGGCGTCAGGGACTCGGGGCGACCCGCGCGGACCGAAACATCGCCGAACGTCGAGCCTCCCCACACACGCACGCACACACATTCTTCTGAGGCCGTCGTAGAAAATCTTATCAGCACCGATGGGCGATCCCGTTGACCCTGCCACGCCGAGCGCGCCCGTGCTGTCGTACCACGACTCCCCGTGCGCGCATGGGCCCGCCAAAATCAAATCAGGCGCCCGTGCGCGCCGTCGCCGCCCGCTGGCAACGGCGGCAGCCATCACGTGAAGTGGCCGACGTGTCCGTGCGCGGTCCCCGCGCACGGCTGATTCCACAGAGCGCCAAGGCGCTGCCGTGGTAATCTCGGCCAGCGTACGGCCGACAGGAATCCGGGAGCGGTTCCCGCCCCGTTGCCCGCCGGCCGGGCCGCACCTCCCGCGACGCGGGCCGGCGGCCTTTGGCAGCACTCCGGCCGACGTCCCCGCCCAAGCGAGCGCCGGGAGCCGTCGCGGGATCCCAAACCGGCAGACGTCAGACACTGCCGGCCCGGCACCGCGCCGCCCGGGTGCCGCCGCGCCTCCGGGGCAACGGCTCCTGGCCCCTTCCGGGCCGCGCTCCTCCGCGGGGGACGCCCCGTGCGCCGACGGCCCTATTAGCTGACGACATCACACATGCGCCTCGCCGTTCTCCGGCAGGCCCGCAGAGAAAGTGTCCATCCGCAGTGGCGTCGAGCCGCCACCCCACCCACCATCCACCCCGCGCACTCCACACCCTCGCCGCCCCGCTCGCCATCCCGTCATCCCGCGACCCACCTCACGGCAGGCAGACCTCCCCGAGCCAGCAGCCCCGATCCACGGCGGCGCAGCAAGTCCAAAGACCGCAAACGCGGCGTCTTGCACAGCTGGGACGCTCGATCGGATTCCCCGCCCGGCCAACCCCGGCCGCGGCAGCCTGGGCGGGAGAGGCGCGCAAAAACACAAGGGCTGCGCCCGTCCCGGCCGCCCTGCTTTGGCGCCGAGGTCCGCCGGGGTCCCGTGGGCCTTGGGGCCCCCTTTCGGCCTTCCGCTCCCGGCTGCGCTGCCGCAGGGAGGCTGAGACGGGCCGACGGGCGGCGCGGCTGCCCAGCCAGCGAATGGGGGGACGACCCGGCGAGCGCTGGTGCGCGGCAGCCTCCATGCACGGGCCCGGGCTGACAAGGCCGAGAGGCTGGGGCGGCGTGATGGGGCCCCCGGGTCCCGCCGGCCAGGATGAGAAGTGTGAAGGCGTGGAGGGCGTCCATGGGAGCCTCACGTGGGGCAGGTGGCGACCTGTGTCTGCCAGGGGCCAGCAGGGGGGGCGTCGCGTTGAATGTGGCCTGCGAGCTCCGGCTGCCATATCTCTACCCGCCATACGGCCCGCCTGGGAGCCTGTCACTTGTCGGGCCATCGCGCCAAGTTGTCGAGGCCCACCTGTTGTGCCCCGGTTGTCCGCCAACCCACCCCGCGCGGCGTGCACGCCTTCGCGGCAACGCGCAAACGCAAGCGCGCTGACTATTGCGCTTCGACCGACACATCCCGCGCAACATCGAATCCGGGGTTTCCATGAGCGGGGCAGCGCTGGTCACCACCCGCAGCCAGCCACGGTCCAAGGACGAACCGCGGCACCCAAGACGAAAGCGGGCTGCGTGACGCAGGAAAGCCAGGGGAGCGATTGGCCCTCGTCAGGCCAGGCACACACAAAATCAGCAAGGAGGATCTTGGGACAAAGACCAATACTGACCGACAGAAAAACGCGCCCAACAACAGAAACACACACCCACAACCCATAGCGCTGTGAATAGATGGGGTTCGTCTGCAAACTGGGAGGCCACAAGCTGCATCGGTGGACAGACATCACATTCATGCCACCCGCCAATGTCGTGTGCTTCACCCAATCTCAGACCCCAGGCCCTTAAAGTGCTCATCACAGCTCACAAAGGCGCCCCTTTTTTTGCCATGCACGCCGCGCCTCGTCCCTAGAAACCTTGGCTGGCCGAGATTGGCGCCCAGCGCTGCGCCGCACATGGGACTCCAGGACTGAATTTTGCGCGGGATGTGCCGGACGAAGCCCAGTGGTCAACCGCCGGCGTTTGCGCGTTGCCGCGAGGGCATCCGAGCGGCGCGCAGCGGGTTGGCGGACAACCGGGGCACAACAGCTGGGCCTCGACGACTTGGCGCGGTGGCCTGAGGGGGGGAGGTGTAGACAGGCCGCTGGGCGGGTCGTATCGCGGGACGTAGAGATACGGCATGTAGAGCTCCGCAGGCCACATTTACCGGGGTGGGGGGTGGGGTGGGGGGGGGCTCAGGCACCACGTAATGCGTTGGCCGTGAGATGCCCGCTCTGGCACCCGCAGTGAGCGTGCATTGCCGCGATTCATTAGGGCGGTCTGTGACGGTGCCCAGTGTGTCTGATCCCCGCTTTGGTCTGCGTTTCTGGAGCGGCGCCTCTGCGCGGCGGTTTTGTCCCGGCGGTTTGTCGCAGCGGCGTGATGCTGACCTGCCGATGGGGGGCGGATCAGTCGCAATGCGTCAACCAATCTGGGCGGCAGTCAGCGCGCAAATGAGGGCTGGCGCTTGCGCCCATCTTCCCATCGAGATCCGCTGGTCGTCACGGAAACTAACCACATCATGCCGGCCTCCCTGAATCGCAGAACTCGCCCTTAGTCACTCACGGCTGACGACTGAACCCCACACCACCCAGAAATGAAGTTTGAGACGTCGCCGGGCTGAGCGCTATGGTCTTGCACCGAAAATGACTCTCCTGCTTCAAACGTTGACCACATGTTTCACATCACCGGTCCAAACGGTTGACCTTTCCTGTGTACTTCCAGAGCACAGATTCCCGCTGAAGGTCGCACAGCCACACAGCACGTCTTAAGCGGGTCCGAGGCCTCGCTGCGACTCGTCAACGCCGGCGGCTCCCGTTCAACTCCCAGCTCGTCGCTTCATTCCACCTGCATCTACAGGGCGTGCTGACTCGTATCGGTCGAGACGATGTTGTTTCGATTTCCGTGAAGGATACCGAAGTCCGTGAAAGCGTAAACAGCTCTTGGGAGACAATCTGACCTATGGGCGTCGGTAGACGAAATTTCAAAGCCTTTACGCCTTCTCAAATTCTGGATCGGGTCGTCAGGCTCTTTTCACTCCACTTGCCTTCCTCATTATCAGCGATGACAGGCACCGCATGGCGATGCTGCAGTTGCAGATGCCTAGGCCAGCGCCTCGAAAAGCAGTTTGAATAAACTCTTCTATCAATCGTCAAAGGTGTGCTACAAACGATTGTAACGATTTAATGGTAATGTGGTTATCTCCTAATAATTTTGATGCCACACATCACATAACAGTATGCTCACTGTGTTTATATGCATAAGCAGGAACGAGTTCCTGGACCCGCCCTACGATTCCAGCCTAAATGTATTCTGTTCGAGTGCCATGATGTTACAAACAGCTGACAAACACCGCCAGGAGGGTGTCTACGCTTTGGAACAGCAATATGACTCACCGATCAGCCATATGCGCTCAATGGGAGTCACCAAAAGCACAGCCACTATCACAGCCCTGTCAATCGCCCAGAATTTCTGAGCATTCCGCTCCTACACTTTTTACCAACTTAGCTCATAAACACTCACAGGACAACGAGAATCACCACAGCAAGTAAATTCAAGCCCAACAGGATACTTGGGGTGTGGTCGAGCGCTGCCGAAGCGAGGCGCAACCCCAGAGCTGAACTTCGTGTTCAAGTTCACCTTAACCGTTCACATACAACGAGAAACATGCAACTGCTGACCAGCTCGACGAGAGGCACGAAAATACACGCTCAAACTGCGAAACGATGCTCCACACCTCGCTCAGTAGCTCAGTATGACGAGCGTACTGACCATTCTCCAGATGTCTCAAACCGATGTCGTCGATGCTCGTTCCCTGCGGTCCAGCGCTGCGCTCCACTCACTCGCCAAGCAGCGGACGATGAAGACGGGTCGTTGAGTCGACGAAGTCAGCGCCCAACGTGGGCGCACGCGGGTCAGCTGGTCAACGAGGCAGGAAACGAACTCGGCGACGAGCTGTGGGTATGTGCAGCGGTGCACAACCCAAAGGCAATCGATCCGGAGGGTCAAGAGACAAAGACACACGGAAACGAAAGTGTTCGTTACAAGGCTGCTCCCCTTCGACCACGTTCGACCTCAACAACTCGCAGCACGACAGTTCGCAACCGAACACCCATCGTTCAGACCGCTAGAACCAAAAACGGATGGGTGGGTGGCGGAGAGAGAGGGGAGAGGGGGCACCCACACCCCAAACACTCCCTCCTAAATACCCCCGCCAGCTCCAAGGGCACTACACTTCAGTGACCCTTGGATAAACAAACAGACACATCAAGAAAAAGGCCACAATACCTCTCAGAACTTCCCATTGACCTTCTCCACTTTGACCCTTTCCAAAGGGTCACACAATACAATCAAAAAAGTCACCTATGAACACTACAACACTACTCAACACCCGTCAGCGCCTCTTGGCAGTACTCCCATGAAAATGTACTGTTGTACATCCTCTTCCCACTCACGCTGCGATGAACTAAGTGCTGTAGGTTCCTGAAAAGTCAAATTAGGGGGAATCCCCCTATCCAAACAAAAAATACACCTAATACATTTTTCATCCCATGTACACCCATCACACCCCACAGTCCCGTAGTGGGTATTGTCCCCCGGCTGCCTAACCCATTCTACCTCCCTTTCCCCCATGTACAACATGCGTG